GGGGCCTCTCTTTGCAACAAAAAATATATTTGGGGGCCTCATTTTGCAACAAAAAATTTGGGGGCCACAAACCATTGCCTCAATTGGCTGTGCTCAGGGCCGGCACTGGTTAAAATACTATTTCATCTTTAGATACTCACAAGAATTTTAGACGGAAGTCACGGAACCATTACACGTATGTTAGTAATGGTATCTGGAAGGTATCGACATTGTGTGTGATGTTTTTGTAGATAGTAATGTATATTTAGAATTTGGTATTATGATGAAATTTAGTTTGATGAGATTTTTCATAAATAGTTTAGATAGAAACTTAGCTATGTATTTTAGGTTTTCTAATATAGAAGGGAAGCTAACTAATATATTAAGGTAAATGTTAAATTGTTTTGTTAACTCCCATTTTACGACTCCTATTAAAGTAAATGTTAATTATGTACCTTATACGAATACATTATGATATACAAATAGTAAGGGAAGAACAAATATTACCATGGCATAGACATTTTACTCCTCAACCCTCTATCTCTTTATCAATAAGACTATGGTCAAAGTGATTCTTCAACACACAAAGGAAAAAATCAAACACAACTTCATAAACGAAATGACAACAAAAAAGCCAAAACATATGTTCTGCATTTTCACATTCTTCTGTTTCTTTTTCTCATTCATTGCACAACCCACAATCCAAAACATGGCCTATCCTCTCTCTACAAGCTTCCGTTGGATTGTAGACGAGAACGGTCAAAGGGAAAAGCTAGTGTGTACAAGCTGGCCATCGCACCTCCAACCAGTACTAGCCCAAAAGTTTGGGCTGCCTAAAGCAATAAAAAACTTTTGGCCCATCAATATTTAAAAGAGTTAGCAAAACTAATGGGGGGGGGGGGGAAGGAATCGAACACACAACCTCTTGATCAATATAACATTACATAAACCACTCGCTATAAGGAGTTTTCTTAAATATGATACCCCTAAAATCATAATATATTTGTGATGCCTAAACCATTTGTTTGTTGGGCTTTTGCCCCAGGCCGGGCCTGCCTCCAGCTCGTGGTGGCGGAAGGACTAAGCAAGCAACCAGTGGACGCAGTGGCCAAGAAGATAGTGGAAATGGGTTTCAATTGTGTTAGGTTAACTTGGCCATCATATTTGATGACTAAAGAGACATTGGTTTATAATGTCACAATGAGACAATCTTTTCAAAGCTTTGGTCTTAATGATGACATTGTTGGCTTCAAAACTAATAACCCCTCCATTATTGATCTCTCCCTCATTGAAGCTTTCAAGGTATTCTTATAATGTCTCCAGTCTCTTGACTCCAAAGATAGTAGTGTGTTTCACAGTTTCAGTTATAAGCTTTGTTGTGGTAGATGGACTTATGTTTTAAGTTTTAAGGAACTTCTTTAGACATTAAAATGTATCTATTCAACTTATTTTTAAGTTAAGTTAGTTTTAATAAGTAACTAAAACCTTTTTTTTTGATAAATGGTTTAATAATATCTAAAAATTCTATTTATTTTCTAGTAACATTGATAGAAGAACGGTGTTTCAAGTTTCAATGTTGCTTATCGAACTATGACACGAACTGATAAAATTGTTGAAAACCCAATCTGACTATATAACACGTCAATTCTTGAATGAAAGTTTACATTTACATATATAATCCATAATCAATTTTAGTGGGGTTTGGTTGAATATCTTTATAAACTCGGTCTTAGTTAGCTATTATTTGCTTCTGAATAAAGAGAAACATAATATTCACTTATTCAGGTACGGTCTATGCTGAAAATATGTCATTAGGTAATGTCTTAACTAAAAATTGTTTGGTAGTGCGTAATTGAAGTTAATGTAACTTTGAGAACCCATAACACTCGTGACCTTTGGTTGGCCTTTTTCCTTTTCTGTTCAAGTAAACTAATTATATTCACAAGGACTTGTTCTGATAATTTTATTAGTACTTAAGAAAAGTAATGAAAAAAATAGTTGAAAAATCTTGGGTGTATCACAGAAACTCATCTAAATAAAACATAAGAGATATAAATAATGATATACCCTTCTTTTACTTTTTATGCAGCTGGTGGTTACTACATTAGGAAGTAACGATGTGATGGTGATATTAGACAACCATTTAACCAAACCAGGCTGGTGCTCTGCCGAGAACGACGGTAATGGTTTTTTCGGTGACAAGTTCTTCGATCCCACTGTTTGGGTCGCTGCTTTGAGTAAAATGGTTGCGACCTGCGACGGTGTCTCTAATGTTGTTGGCATGAGTCTAATGAATGAATTTAGAGGGCCTAAACAAAACGTGAACGATTGGTTCAAGTACGGTACCACTATTAATTAGCCTATCATATATACATATATAGTAATAATAAGTCTATTGCATAGAAATATGTATATTAATAATAAGTTTTATCGCATAGAAATATCTTCCTAGTTTGTCTTCTTTTGTTAGTCCGAGAAATTCTAAACTTTTGTCTTTCAAAGTGTGATATTTTTTAAATAGGTTAATTAAATAATGTAGTGTGATAAAATTATTTATAAAATTTTTATTACTTTTAAAAATCTGAATGCCATGCTTCTAACACAATAATAAATTTTTCTAATGAAAATGATTTTCCACAATCAGACACAAAAGTTCAACGCTTTTTCGGGGTCTTCAATTGAGTCGAAGATTTTTTTTTAAAACAAAAAGTAAAGTTTATAGTATCTTTTAACAAAACGTATATATAGTTGAATACTAGTACCATGTTTTCTTTGTGGGATTTTCCATTACATTGATAATACATTGTGTTTTAAGAAAAAAGATATCAGTGTACGTAGGTATATGCAACAAGGAGCGGAAGCAGTTCACTCAGCAAACAAGAACGTACTTGTAATCCTGTCCGGTCTCACCTTTGACACCGACCTCTCCTTCGTTAGGTGTCTACCTGTAAACCTATCCTTCACCGGAAAACTCGTCTTTGAGCTGCATTGGTATTCTTTCAGTGACAAAAACTCATGGGAGGCAGAGCCGGCCCTAAGCACAGGCTGGTGAAACATGTGCTTGCGCCCTCAAAGTATATGTATTTTATCGGCCCTCAAAGTAGTTGACAGTCACTTTAGTGCAATGGTAAAAGAGTTCAGATTATTCTTCATGATCTCTAGTTCGACTCTAACATGCTTCAATTTTTTTTTTTACTTACTTAAAAAGTCGGTCCAATAACTCTTTTGGGCTTGTGGCCTTATTATTTTATGCGCTGGCTCTGATGGAAGGTCAATAACCCTAACAATAACTGCGGTCAGGTTCTAAACCGGAAAGAAAACAGTGGCGGTTTTCTCCTTAACCAAGGGTTTCCGTTGTTCCTCAGCGAATTCAGTATAGATAAAAGAGAAAGAAACGCTAATGATGACCGGTATTTTGGGTGTTTAACTGGCTGGACAGCTGAAAATGACGTGGATTGGTCGATTTGGGCGCTTACCGGAAGCTATTACTTAATACAAGGTATGGTCGGAATGACTGAAAACTACGGTGTGTTGGATTCCGATTGGATTAGTGTTCGGAAATCGAGTTTCTTAGAAAAGATCTCTCTTCTTCAATTTACGCTTCAGGGTGAATATTCGCGAAAATTACAAGATTTTGCCAAAACATTTTGTTTTAAAAAATCTAACTTTTGAAATTATATGGTTTACTAGGACCGGGTCCTCGAACCGACGATTACAATCTGGTTTTGGATCCGTTAACCAGACTATGCCTAGTATGATATCTCAATGACCTGAGAAAATTAAAGTCACACTTGGTCCATGCAATAGTTCCGAACAATGGATCTACATTATGAAAGCCCTAAGAATCAAAAACCAGCCTTTGTGTTTACAGAGCAGCGGACCAGAAAACCTAGTTAAAATGACTCGGACGGGTTGCTCGGGACCTGGTTCGAAATGGCAAACTGACTCTGCCTCAAGGATGCATTTATCTTCGACAACAAGTAACAAACTTCATTTTGCCTTGATGTGGACGCAACCAACAATGTCGTAACTAATGGCTGCTAGTGTATGAGAAATGAAAGTTTGTGTGAGCCAATGAGCCAGTGCTTCAAGATCATTCATGCCAGAAGGTCATTGAAGAGCTTGAAGCATAAGCACATGCGCCTTTGATAGGTATGGAAAGTGTTTGGATAATGAGTTATTCTTCGATATTTTAGAGAGATTTCGGAATTTAAGTTAACATATTATGGCCGTGTTCGGAGGAGAGTCGCCAACGACCATCTCAGCGACAGATCAAAACGACGACGGCGGCGGCGATCAACAAAGCAAAACGAGGATAGCAGAGGCAAAACGTTGATGAGAGAAGTGTCGCTGGAAAGAGAAAAAGGTGTCGCTGAAATTTCAAGTGACAGCAGCGGCAACTCATTCAACACTAACGGCGATTCTTTTTTACAGTGGCAGCTGTTCTTTTGTACGGTTACGATTCCGTTCATGCCTTTTTTTAGTCGCAGTTGCTCATATAGCGACTCACAAAAGAACAGGGCCTATATACCATCATAGTTAATTTGAAGCTTGTATATCAATTTTATGCGGTACTTTAGAAGTAACAGATACCCTATCATAGAAAAATCTCGATCTAGATCTCTCACAATGGCACTCAGATTTTAAAATGCCATGCCAGATAACAAATAATCGCTCTATGTCCTGTTTCATCAAAAATTTTGGAAGAAGTCGTGATGATTAATTCAGATTCACAGTTTAAAAGTTCACATTGAATTTTATGTATTTAAAACTGTAGTCAATTAATTTACTTCGGTTACAAATTCGATTCATTATTCAAAGCTCTAAAAGAGAACTAAATTTAGTATTTATAAAAAGAAAAAATGGATAAGTTTTTGGAAAAGAAAATGGATGACGTGTTTCAATGTTAAATCGTTGGATCAAATGGTGAAACTGAGTATAGCTTACGTAAAGGTCAGACTAGACCCAAAAAATCCTCTAAGGTCAAACAAAATCGGAGATCTGGTCCGACTAAACCAGACAAACCAATTTCAACCTCCTCGCCGGAGAAAATGGCGGAAGACAAAGAAGCTACGACGAGTTCGCTGAGTCAAGGACTCACTCCTCACCAAGACCCCGACGATGCTCCCAAGTCTCCTCCCAACTCTCCTAATTCTTCTACTCGCAAGGTACTGTCTCTCCCGAAACCTGCTCCGATTTTATCGAGCCTGTGAGCTAAAGTTTCTGCGCTTACTCGTTGCTAATTTGGGATTGAGTCGGAGAACTGTAGAAGATTTCTTCGATTTTGTTGCTCTTGAAGTTGAATTTTTAGTTATCTTATATGTCACTGATGATGTTTTAGTGGAAAATGTGAAGATCGTAGCGAAATCATGAGTAGCGATGTGTAATTTTAGCTGTTATTGACAGAAATTCGAGTTAGATTTCTCTATCTTATAGTCACTTTTGTGAATTCGTTGAGAAATTTAGGGTTCTAGTGTTGCTATACTTTCTGATTACTCTATCTACTTGTGTTTAATTCAGTTTATATTGAGCCAAAGTTTATTTGCTTACTCGTTACTAATTTTTGGGTTGGGTAGGAGAATTGTAGAGGAATCTTATAATCAACTTCGATTTTCTTGCTCTGGACTTTTGAATGATATAGTCACCAGAACTTGTGTAGATCGTAGCGAAAGACTGCGAAACTATAAGTGGCGATGTGAAATTTTGGATGAATCAACTAAGTGGAGTTTCTTGACAAAACGTTGTGAGTAAAATTAAGCAGAATCGATAAGATGCTGATCTTGGATGGTAAAATTTTGTGCTGCTGAGGAGAGCTTCGAGTTCTCAGCTTACTCACTTTTGTGAAGTCGTTGATAAATATCTAGGATTCTGTTTTTTGAAAGAAAACTCCGGATTGTGAAAATTTATTGTATAAGTGATCTTTAGGGAGCGTAAGGTTTAGAGGTTAAAGCTGATTTACATCTATCTGTTTGTGTTTGATTCAATTTATATTGAGATACTTACATGTTTTCTCTTTTGTATTTGAGCAGGCTTGTTATGGGGTTCTACAGAGTTGGGTGTCTAAGAAGTTTATGACTGGATTGTAAATCACTCTTAGCACTTTTTTATTTTCATACTCATGATTTGAAATCTTTGTATTATTAGAGACTAACTGTGTTTTTCATATTGGGTGTTGTGTGGTAGTGTCGTACTCTTTCCTGTTGCTGTTACATTCCTCATCACTTGGTGGTTTATCCAGTTCGTTGACGGGTTCTTCAGTCCGATATACGAGAATCTTGGTGTTGACATATTTGGTAAGACTGAAATGATAATTAAGACTATTCGGCCTAGCTTATGTATGCATGGAACTTCTTCTGACTTGTATGGTAATGTTATGTACTTCAGTAAAACTTGATGTAGAAATATCGTATGTGAAGTCTAAGATATCTTAAAAGATTAGGAGTCAGGATTTGTTCTTACTGCTAGAGTTAGTGGTATGTGACAATGTATCTGGTAAAATAAAACATTTAGTTTCATCTCTATTTGAAAGTTTCCAAAGAGATTAAATATCAGATATTAATATCTTATCTTGAACTACATCTTTTAATTATTTTTTGTATGTTGCAGGACTTGGGTTCATTACATCTGTACTTTTCACTTTCTTTGTTGGAATATTTGCTTCGTCGTGGCTGGGTTCTACGGTTTTCTGGCTTGGGGAGCAGTTTATAAGGCGAATGCCCTTTGTGAAGCACATATATTCAGCTTCTAAACAAATTAGCACTGCTATTTCTCCGGGTAAGACTGTGTACTGTTTCATTCTCTTCACCAGTTTCCCTGCTTTAGCTTTTTCTCACATCCAAATATCTCTGGTCAATTCTTCCCCTTTTCTCCAAATATATGTCAAAGTGCAAGGAATCACGTAAAGAAGCTCGTCTTTTTTTTCTAGCAAAAACATGCAAGCATATTCATGTGGAATCAGACACAATGATTTGAATCCACAAGTAACATTTTTATGTTCTCAGACCAAAACACTACTGCCTTTAAAGAGGTAGCAATTATTCGTCACCCTCGTATTGGTGAATACGCATTTGGATTTATCACATCATCGGTGACACTTCAGGTCAGTTATTCAGCAACAAAAATGGTAAAACCCAAGTAAGTAAATTACTTACTTGCTTTCATGCGTTTTTTTGTAACAGACTGACCATGGAGAAGAAGAGTTATGTAGTGTGTATGTGCCAACGAATCATCTGTACATAGGAGATGTGTTTCTGGTGAGTAGCGAAGAAATCATAAGGCCAAATTTATCGATCCGAGAAGGAATAGGTCAGTCTTGATCTCTTTACGTTTCATCATCTACTTTTTTTTTTTATGAGAAAGATCAGATTCATATGGTGTTGTTTTGATGCAACAGAGATCATAGTATCGGTGGGGATGACAATGCCGCAAGTGATATCTCATGCGGACAGGACAACAAATAGAACTCCTCACCAACACAGTCTCAGGGTTCCTCTCAACAGACTTTAGTTAATAGCAGTATGGCCTCTCTACCTTGTAAAGATAGTTTACGCGTTGTGCTCAATCGTGAATTTTTAAAAATTTCGAATGACTATTACATATGTAGTAACAAATATTCACGAATTTATCTACCACTCAAATTCAATCCCATATATCCTAGTTACACTTCTTCTATCGCCAACACAAGTAAGGATTTCGGATGTCTGCCATTGTCTTCCAAACTCGTTATAAGAGGTTCTGCGGCCATTTATCCAACGATTTCCTCACTGGAGGCCGAAGCAGAAGCATGAGGAATGGCAGTTCTTCAAATCAAAAATCTGGGCTATTCTAATGTTACTTTTGTTGGGGATAATGCGGATCTTTATAAAGTATTAGAGGTGAAAGAATTTGCACATCCATTGCAAAGATGGGATCATACTAGAGTATCTTTTGTTATTCGTATATCAGAAACATTTTGCAGATGATCAAGGACTGGTGAAACATTTAGCTTTATGAAGATCTCAAGGAATGTAAACCATGTAGCAGATACTTTAGCAAAGAATGCAAGAATGAACCAATCAAGTTATGTAATATCCTAGAACAGTGTACTTTGATGTTTGATAATGGAAAGGTTAAACATCAACTAGAGTATCTTTTGTTATTCGTGAATAAAAAACATCAACTAGAGTAAGGGAGCTAGTATCTTTTGTGATTCAAATGGGTTTAGCTAGCAATTTAATCGTCATATCTTATGAAAAGTTTGAATAAATATAAGTTTACAAAACAAAGTAAATACTTATCCGTTGAAATAGAAAAATCACCCAAAAATAATTTTGGTTTTATGCAATTGAAATTAAAACTCATACAAAAAAAAACAATTTATTGGTAAATCTGATTGGCACATTCACCAAAATTAAAATTCTGTTTTAAAGGAGAGAAAAAAAATAAACCATACACACTCGAAATTCTCCATAACAATATATTAACCAATCACCATCATTACAAAAGAAACAACCCAAATTTAGTCGTTAATTAATAACAATAATCAAGTGCTTTTAACAGTCTTTGAGACATGTTAACTCTATATAAAAAAATAAAGTGGGCAAACACTTCTCATTGTGTCTTAGAAAAAGTATTGTTAAACAAAAGGTATTTGTTTAACTATCTCCATATACCCCTAAACAAAAGCATAAGATGGCCTTCATTGCTTCTGCGTTTAAGGCATTGTGTTTGTCTCTCTTGTTCGTTGTTGCTGCAAGTCGTCCGACCATGAGACCAAAGGTTTTCAATGTCCGACGCCATGGTTCAAAGCCAGACGGAAAAACTGATAATGCCAATGTATGTACACGACAACTTTCCTAATATAATGTTAGTCAGTTATTTATTTAATTTTGTTAATATATATATATATATATATATATATATATATATATATATATAATTTTGTTAATAATATATATATTATTTTCCAAATACTTTGAATTAAGCTCAATTCAATATCAAAATAGATATAAACAATCTACTATATGTTGAAAAAACATTTTGATATACATACATACTTGACATTCCATATAACAATATATGTATTGGTATTATATGAACCAGTTAAATTGAACTTATTTTTGGTCAATTTCACGGCTAGAATAAAATAAACAATAAATCTTTTGTTTCTTAGTTTATAGTGCATTTTGGTAAGAATTTTAGAATATGTTTGGAACTATATTATATCGAAAGTTATAATAAACTTTATATAAAAAGATATAGATTATTGTAAACCTTTTCCTTCTGATTACCAACCAAGGAATGAACTTCTAATTCATGTGTGGTTGGGAAAAAAAATATATATGTTATTGTGCTTATCACCAATTAGAATGTTAGATGAAAAAAAATCCATAAATATTATTACAATCCATAAATAACTTTTTTTCACTTCTATGGATTTTTTTGGTTCAATAATTAACCTATCTCATTCTTAACACATACAAAACTAGGCATTCACAAGCGTATGGAGACGTGCATGCACAAGGATAAGTGGAAGTAGTAAAATCTACGTACCGAAAGGAACATTTTACCTTGGTGGTGTAGAGTTTGTGGGTCCATGCAAAAATCCTATTGAATTTGTCATCGATGGAACTTTATTGGCTCCTGCAAACCCTAGGGACATTAAGCAGGACACATGGATCAACTTCCGGTACATCAACAATCTCTCTATTTCCGGTTCCGGTACACTTGACGGCCAAGAGAAACACTCTTGGCCACTCAATGACTGCCACAAAAACACCAATTGTCCTAAACTAGCTATGGTACCATTTCTTCTTACACTTTTTTTTTTAATATTGCTTCATTGAAAAATATGATTGTTGTTTACATTGAAAGCGTATAACAAAATGTGTGATATGGCATTTATACACTGGTAAAAAGATTATTTTGATCAATTATTTTTATATTATAAATATAATTCCTATATATTTATCATACACAACTTAATTGAAGTATCTACTCTTTGTTTCCACATTTCACAGACTATGGGATTTGCATTTGTGAACAACTCAAGAATCAAAGACATAACATCACTCAACAGCAAAATGGGACACTTTAACTTCTTCTCCGTCCATCACTTCAACATTACCGGCGTCACTATAACAGCTCCTGGTGATAGCCCCAATACCGACGGTATCAAAATGGGTTCATGTAGCAACATTCACATCTCGAACACACACATTGGTACCGGAGACGATTGTATCGCCATTCTCTCTGGGACAACTAACCTCGATATCTCCAACGTCGAGTGTGGTCCCGGACATGGAATCAGTGTCGGAAGCTTAGGAAAGAACAAAGACGAGAAAGATGTGAAGGACTTAACGGTAAGAGACACAGTTTTCAATGGCACAAGCGATGGTATTCGGATAAAAACTTGGGAATCTTCGGCTTCGAAGATCCTAGTTTCTAACTTCGTATACGAGAATATTCATATGATTGACGTTGGAAAACCGATCAACATCGACCAGAAGTATTGTCCTCACCCACCTTGTGAACATGAACAAAAGGTTAACATTCTATGCATGCTTGAAACAAGCTTCGCTTTTTATTTTCCATCACAAGAAAAAATAAAACAAAAGATAACTTGTGTTTCCTTGTCTCAGGGTGAGTCTCACGTTCAGATACAAGACATTAAGTTAAAGAATATATATGGAACGTCGAAAAACAAAGTGGCAGTGAATCTGCAATGTAGTAAGAGCTTTCCGTGTAAGAATGTTGAACTGATTGACATTAACCTAAAGCATAATGGAGTCGAGGATGGTCCTTCCACTGCGGTTTGCGAGAATATTAACGGTTCTATACGTGGTAAGATGGTTCCTCAGCATTGTCTAGACTGACTTGACGGTCCAGAACAATGACAATTTGTGTTGTACATGATGTTTTTATTTATACATTATTGATGGTGTATAAAGTTATGTTTTATGTTCTTGTTTATATCATGATCAGACATACGAATTCCTAATGAATAGTTCTTTCTACGACAAAACAAATCTACGATAGAACGGTTAAATTTGTAACTTCCAATAGTTTTATTATGATCAGACATACGAATTCCTGATGAATATGTCAAATTCCACTTTACTATAATCAAAAATAATAAGAACAATCTCAGTATATCTTTAAGGTTTGCGCCGTTTTATCATACTTTATATAATATTTTAAATTTAAATGTTTTCATAATTTCAATAAAGAATTATAAAGTTTTATCTTTTTATCATAACTCCATGTAAAAATATGTTTGATTGAAAACTATTTATAAGTGCATATTTTGAATATTTGTGTAAATTCATTAATTTTAAGTCGGTACTTTTTTTATGAAATTGTGTTCTTTCACTACTGACCATATCTCAAAATTACTAATATTTGTATTTAATTTATTATAATTTAATTAATAATATATTTTTGCATTAGATAAATACCCTAAAATATCACACTATTAACTTTTGTTTTAAAAGTACCACTAGTTTATTTTCCCTATAATACCATAATTGTTTGTACAAAAATACTTATTCAACCACAATAAATTAAAAATAAAATTAGAAAATTATATTTTGGTTCTGTATTTCTAATTTAAGATTTATACTTCTACCATTTTAAAAGAGATTTGATTCATTTTAATATTAAATTTATAGTGTTAATGGAAAAATATCTGGTGATGATATTTTATAAATAAAATAAAAATAAAATGTGGTATTTTAGAGAATTATTTTTTTTTTTTTGTCGGCCAATATTTTTATTAAAAAAGCCCAAAGGGTAATACATGTGATGAAAATAAAGAAGACCAAACTGCTCCTTTTACAACCTTAATTTAAAATTAACACAGCTTAATCTCATCTAAAAGATAAGATTAAGAAGGGAAGGTGCCACGTGTTAGAAGCTGGTAAAAGCAGAACACACGAGAAGGAGAAGAACAGTCGGTGCTCGAGATCCACGATCTGATTCAGATCCGACGCCATGCTTCAATAATCCATCACCAAATATCTTCTACAGATATCGCTGATGCAAAATAGATGAAACCCACCACTTCCGCCTTGAAATTCCGCAAGAAGATTTCTTCAAATCTTCATCTTCTTAACTCAAAACTCCTAGAGGAAGCTCCGTCTTGAGACCTAACAAGGTCTACTTCATAAAAAGCATATCGACGAAGATATTATTCCAACTTAAGAGAAAGGAGTCAAGCCAACGGTGCATAGAAGGAGTTCCATCAATTGCAATCGGGATCAAATTAAAACCTGTAGAAAGAGATAACAAAACCAAACTAAAACAGAACTAAGAAAAGGAAATATATATATCCGATCAAATCGGAAACAAAAGCCAACTACGCCGGGTAGAGAGCCGACGTAAGAACAGAGAAAACACAAAAAAAAACTACTCCGATCAAAGATCGAAAAGCAAAAGAGAGAAAATCTAAATTTCTCTCTCTCAAAGGTTCGAGAGAGTTAAGAGAGAGTAGAGAATTATCCTATTTAGTAAGGACATGTTTATATATTGAAATTATTTTTAAATATGTGTGTGGAATATGTCGAAAGGACTTCTTGCTTTAAAAAAAAAAGTATTCCCTCAGTTTCAAAATATAAGATGTTTTGGAGAAATTTTTTTGTTTCACAATATAAGATGTTTTCAAGTTTCTATGCAAATTATAGATTCATTTCATATTTTATAATTATTTATATTATACATTTTTTTTTATTGGTTAACTTTTTAAAATTTAAAGCATCTTATATTTTGAAATAGAAAGAGTATTGATTTTTATTTAAGTTTGTCTTAAATGTGCCAGTTGGATTCATATGAAAATGATGATTGGTTTAACTGCACAATTATCTTGATAGTCCCTAGGCATGTGGGAGACTCATGATTCATCTTGTTACTAAAGTCTTGTATTAGCTGTAATTCCATTTAATTTAATTTCGCAAATTTCATCTGTTATCCCTTTTTAATACTTTTGAAATGTTTCGAGGAAAGTTCTCTATTGCTTTCCTCCCAAGCCAATGCAAAAGCCCTTACATAAAAAAACTTAACCATAAGCAAATATATTTTTTTTAGCTGAACACATCAAATATATTGCAAAATCTAGTTTGCGACCGAAACAGATTAGTGATTGAATATAGTATTTGTTCATTCAATGGAACGTCTCATTAATTAAAATAATTAACCAAAAATCAAAAGTAGTGTTTTTCTTTTGTTTTACACTTTGTTAAAAAAAAGCTGTAAACTGTATATGGAGTAAATTTAATAATGAATAAAGTCACTTAATTAATGGCAAAAACAAATGTTCATCATATAACTTTGACCCACAAAACTAAACCCTACAACCTTAAAAAAATGTATTATCAATTTCCCAAAAAAAGAAGGAAAAATAATAAAGATCGAGATAAAATTACATTTGCTTTCACTCCCAAATCATAAATAAAAAATAAATAAATATGGAACATCTTCCATACTTTGTTGAAGAATGAAGAATAAGAAGAGATCATCTTCAAAGAATAATGTGAAGTATAATTATCAAGTACTCATACGTGAGAAGGACGCTATCTTCTATTCCCATCATCACCACTATAAATATTAATGAAGATAATGAGATGCATCAATGTAATGAGGAGAATAACTCGTGGACTTTAGGTAATGGATCAAGTTCATGAAGACTTGAATCTCGCAGGAGATCCTCAAAGCACCGTCGTATGAGTGACCGAACTCTTCTTCGGATAATCGAAGGAGATCTTCGAACAAAGGGTGGGTCAAGAAATCAGCATCCATCTCTAACTTGCATTGTGTATCTCTGTCGTTTCCGACATAAACTCGGACTCGTCCTTCCTCCGGTAATCTAGCTCTTTGGGAGAAGCTCTTGGCTCCGCAACATAGTAGCTTCTTCACCATGCATTTCATCTTGTTTTGAGTTGAGTTTGAATAATTTGGCTTTTCGGTTTTTGGAGTTGTGAAGCTTGTGATGTTTATGGAGAAGCTTGTGGAGATATTTATAAGTCTTTAGAGTTTAAGAAGAGAAGAGGAAGGTCAGTGGAAAGAGACAACGTAAAGCCGCGGGAAATAGCTTCTTTTGTGGGGACATATTTAATACCTTCAATCGTACATTCTTATCTCATAATCCTTTTTTTTTTTTCCTTTTTTTTATTTTTTTTATATTTGATGTTTTAGTAGAAATTTTTTGTTTTAAATTAGATGATGTTCTTAACTGTTAATGCAAAATTAATTAGTTTTTATTGGCTGTGACGATTTATTTATATTCTATAGATTGTTTTATTACCTGTTAAAGCGTATTTACATAGATAATGTGCAAGAAGCTTAAATATCATGTTTTTTAGCTATTTTGTTTTCATCTCAAGAGTAATACTTCAATTATTACCAAAAAAATAAAATAATAATAGGAAGATATCAGTAAAATATATATATATCGGAGATCAAAACCAAAGTCTTTTTTTTAATATCCCAACCCAAGTCTAAAGTAATAATCAGTAAAATAAATTGTAGCATTACAAGCCATATGAACAAATAATACATGAGAGATATTCAGGATTTCCAAGTCTGAATTCGTATCCAATAAATATATCTTAAATAAAAATAGTTTAGGTTAGTATAAATTGAAGGTTCATGTACATTTTTAGCGCTAAAAGTATATTTGAAAAAAGTTAACATTTGAATCAATGGTGGACATTCAAATAGAACATGGTTTAAGATTTCTTGGGTCTAAATGGTAACCGAGGAATCTGGCTGAATCCGGCTGAATTGCTGAATCTGGCTGAATTTTTAGTGATTTTTAGCTGAATCTGGCTGAATTTTTACATTTTCAAATGGTAACTGCTGAATCTAGCTGATTTTTTTTTGTGATTTTTAGCTGAATCTAGTTGAATCTGTCAAAATAATTAAAACTTTAACTGAAAAATATCGTCAAATAATTATAAATATTAATAGAATAACTAAAAAGAATATCTAAATAAAATAGATAAAATTATCTAATAGTCTAATTAACTCTTATACTAATAAATATATTCCAAAGGGGCTATTTTTGGAAAAAACAATTTTTTGGGGCTATTTGTGTCAATCTCCCAATTAATATTATTATTAATAATATATTGTTAGCAAAATTGAGTTGTTCTTCTAAATTTAATTTTTGAACTATTAAAAAGATGTAATTAATTGTAATAAAAAGCCTTGTCAAAGTTTTATTGAAAAATTAATTTAAAAATAAACATGATAATATAGTATAGATTATCTAATTGATTTCTCATTGTTCTCGAGTAGTTTAAAATCATTAATATGATTAGGATGATTAAGAATTTTTTTTAAAAATTGATATTTTAAATATTATTTTAGCATTAGTATGAGTTGTTTTTGCGAATTTTTTTAAAAATTATATTTAATTATCTCAAAGTAATTAAAATTATCTAAAATAATCTATAGTTATCGGAACATAAATTTCTCTCTTGTCTATTCTGGTAATGATTTTATGTATCTGAATTATTCATATATCGTATTTGTATGATCTAACTTATTTTAATATAAATTTGATGTGTAATTTTTTATGTCCAAAATATTTTAATTCGAGTTGTGTAATCGCTATAATCCGAATTTTTACCTGAAATAAACATACTACGTATCTGTTGGTGTTGAAAAAACTGCTGAATCTAGCTGAATTCAGTTTTATGCAAATGGTAACTGCGGAATTGCTGAATCTGACTGAATCCAGCTGAATAATGTTTTCATGTTACCATTTAAGGCCCTTATCTTCTCACATCCACCTAGGAAATCACAATTTATACTCCGAATATGAAAGTTTTTACTCACTGCTAAACGACCAAGTAACACTTTTCGGAAAATATTTCAGTTTTAAATGTTCGACCATCATTTTGATTTGTTTTTTTATCACGAAAATCACAACAATATTATTAAAATGACTATTGTTGATTTGCCATTTTATTTCAAATATTTTAGGTTTGTCATTTTTGGTCACTTTAAACCCTATAAAATTGTAAATGTTTTTTAATTAATTATGCACTTTAAAACCTATAAAATTGTAAATGTTTTTTAAATTTAAACAAATTGAAAAAAATAAATAAACATAATGTGTATAGTTGTGATTTTAGATATAAAAAATGATAAATCTAAAATATTTAAGATAAAATGGCAAAATGTACAAATGATACCAGAAACAAAGTACTTTTTCCTAATTGATTCAATATTAGAACATAGAATATGATATATTTCTGTTTTATGGCAACTAAAGGTCAGATAAATACTATGACAATTTTATTTTATTTTTTGTCGGCAGTGACAACATTATTTAAAGTGTAAAACTTAGAATATGGCGTTAATCTTTGTTGTGGATAATTAATGGCAAATTATGTCACATATGGGATATGGCTACTCAACAATCAACATATATAACCTTTTGACAAGACGCTGAATCTATCCATGCAATTTTCTGTTTTATGGCAACGGAGGGTCACAAAATTATTGTGAGAACAATATTAAAACTTAGAATATGGCCTTGAATATATTTTAGCTAGTGGATAATTAGTGGCAAATTCTGTCGTTGCAATCATTAGCGAAAGCGATTGCTATTTGCGAGTGCATTTTCCGTGGCCAAAAATAGTTGTCGTTTAGCTACTACTTAGCCACAAAAGGAAATCATAGCTATATAGCAATGATTCAGTTGCGTATTGAACCTATAGTATTATATTTGGTAACTTTTTGTTTGAATCAATCGATGGCTGTGGCCAATTTGAATTGTAATCGATTTTTCATGGGCAACATCTAAACTAAAATAATAATTTTCTTGTACTGAGGATGAAAACTGTATCGAAATACTTGGCTAGTTATGTGGAAGTTTTCATCTGACATCTCATCAGGGTTATTAATTACATACAAATATACATGACAAATACGTAGATAATCACATGTGTTACATCTATAGTTAAGAAGTCACAATTGATTTACTCATTTATTAACCTATATTTGTATACGTGCATGCAACCTATTGGCTGTCACTATCGAGCGATATGTCGCGGATGGCCATTGTGGGCCTTTGTTTAATAAAATTGGTTCGAATTTAGATCTGTTTATAGAACAATTTCTTAGGTTCAAAACCTTTGTTTTAATGTTTTAGGTCATATATTGTTAGGATCAGTGGCGGATGTGGCGGACCTAGGAAAATTGTTTGATGGGGTCAAAATAATTTTTGGGTTCAAACTTGAGTTGGGTTCAAAGTTACAGTTGGACTCAAATATATTTAAAAACTTAATGTAAATTAAAACGATTTTTAAAACTTAATTGGTGTCAATTGCACCCATAACACTCAACTTGCCTCCGCCCCTGGTTAGGATGCATGTGTTTTATATATTTTGTGATGGAAAATAAAGAAAATAAACCAAGAAGAAACAAGAGAGAAAACGTACATTTTCAAGCTGTATAACAAAGGTCCATAAATATATATATGGAGCCAAAGGAAGACTTTTGGTTTTTATTTTAGGAAAAATTCTTCCTCACTTACCAAATATTGACAATTAATAAAAGTTATCATTTGAGAGATATCATCTAGACTACACTTTTCAACTTGACATTAAACATCTTATATATAAAGAATAATTTTAAATCTTACTTTTTTCCAATAGTAATCAAACTAGAAGCACTAAAACAACACCCCTCTAATTTACTTATCATGCTTAAATAATTTTTTAGTATGTTTTATATGATAAAGATCACATATGTCTTTAGATAAGATATAAACACTAAAAAAAAAAAAAAAAGAGGGTATAAACACTTATCAAACCTTCCATGATTAAGAAGAAAAAAACCTTCCATAATGCATGACTTTTATCTTCTTTTTTTTTAACGTCTGGATTTATTATTTATTGTAAATTATGAGAACTGTTATATAGACGATTCTACAACGGACAATTCATTCCGACCCTTATTAGATCCACGACAGACGACATCTCCTTCTTCATGCTCACCTCCTTCACCTCCTTCTTCATGCTCTTGATGGACACTTCTCTCTCTGCGTAGAATCTTGGCGAACGGCTATAATTGTACATCGCTAGAGATCTCCTGCACACTTGCCTCCAATAATCTGCAAATTTATTAAGAAATCGCAGTATCTGGAACTTGAACCCCAGACCTCTCGGTGTAAAAGCATTAATTAACCCTTAATCAACCAATGGGTTAAAGGAGCTTCCATAATATAACTTTGATCCATTTTACTTTTTTTTTCTTTGTTTTCTTTGTTTTCTTTTATCCATTTCACGTGAAACAAATAAAACATATTGCTTAAATCACGAAAATATTAGTTATTTTATTATACCATTTTATTCTCTATGTAGATGATGGAATAATGTACACAATTCGATTTGGAAAAGAAAATCATATGTAAAAATAATTATTACTCTCACATTATGCATATAATTTTCTTAAAGAAATTTGACTAGTTTAAGAAAAAGAAAATGGTAGCATTCTAAAAAAAAAAAGTGTTGGTCTCTCTACTCTCTCAAGACGACGACTTAAAGCAACGAATGTAACGGTGGAACCGCGTCGCAACATTATTCTTGTTTTATAATCATTAAATATATATTGTTTTCATTTCGTTCAAACTACTACATTCATATTAATATATTATTGATACTGTACTACTAAAATTATAATCTCTAAGTGTTTGACCAAAAATAGTATTGCAATTATTCATTTTTTCATCCCAACCTTAAAATGCATCGCATTTATTAGAGTATCGAGCCGGTGTCAGAAACCAATCACCGCTCCCATGTGCTTCTATACCAGTTTCAAGTTTACTATATTTTATGCAAATTATAAAATACCGTATTTGGACCGCAAACTAGTTCAACTCTATTGGATTCAAGTTTGATAATGATTTGCGTTTTTAACGATTTGTCTTTTAAGTATAAGCAAATAGAATCAATTGGTTGCACACCTATAGAT